TAAAGCCCTAAACCCTAAAACCGTAAGACCCGCAGGTCAACACCCAGGCGCTTCTCCTGGACGCCGAGCTTGCCTCGAGGATGGAGGCGACCCACCTTTTTGGGTTCCTTAAAGGGATATAATTATAAGGTTTAGGGTGTAGGGTTTAGGGCTTTTTTTAGGGTTCCTTAATGGGCTCTATAATTAAGGTTTAGGGTTTAGGGTTTAGGGCTCCTTTTGGGGATTTTAGGGTTCCTTAAAGGGCTCTATAATTAAGGTTTAGGGTTTAGGGCTCCTTTTGGGGATTTAGGGTTCCTTAAAGGGCTCTATAACTAAGGTTTAGGGCTTAGGGTTTAGGGCTCGTTTTAGGGATTTAGGGTTCCTTAAATGGCGCTTTTTTGGCGTTTAGGGTGTAGGGTCCTAAACCCGAAACCCTAAACCCTAGGTTTAGGGTGTAGGGTTTATTAGGGTTTGGATTTCGGGTGGGTTTCCTTTAGGGTGCTTTTGTAGGCTCCTTTGGGGGGTTCCTGAAAGTTGTACGTTTATTAGGCACCACAAGGACTTAAGGTTTATATGGTACCATATATAGGGTTTTGGTTTCGGCTTTCCTTTCAGGTCAGGTCTCTTCAATTTCAAGGGTTGAGGGTGTAGGATTTGGGATTTGGGGTTGAGGATTTAGGAAAAGTGGGTTGAGGAGTTAGGCTTTGCGGTTGCAGATTTAGGATACGGGGGTTTAGGATTCGGGTGTTAGGATTTGGGGTTTAGGACTTTGGGCTTATAGGGTGTCGGATTTAGAGTAGTTTAGGGTAATAGAAGATCAGGGGGCTCAGTCAGTGCTTCGGGATCTAGGAGGGGAGGCTCATTCGTTCACAGTGGTTTAGGGCATAGTAGCTGAGTAGGTAACCTTTAACCTTTTTTGGTGTTTCGGATCCTAGCATAAGTGTAAAGGATAACCTTTTTGGGCTAGGCCCCTAAAAGGGTGTAGGACTTATGAGGGTTTGGGCTGTAGGGTTTGGCATCTACGGTGCCAACGAACCAGGTGGTCAAGCCCAACGGTGAGCAGCTGCAACGGGTTTCATGGGCTTCGTCGGCTCTTAAACGTATTCATCAAGGCCGGAATAGTTATGTCGTATAGAGCCTTCACTTGAATGATTCAGGCTTATACATTGCAATTACAGCCAAACTGTGGGTTAGGCTTGACATCCTTAATGCCAGCAGCCAAGCACCACGCATTCGGAGTCATACGTATTGCATATGTTTTGGTCGCCTTCTAATTTCAACAGCGCCTCGGGGCTTGACGCATACAAACAGACCTCGGAACCACAGCAACTACAGACTCGACCCTAAACCCTAAACCTTAAACCTAAACCCTAAGCCCATTCAAGCTCAGTCCCAACACTGGATCGCAAGCTTCGGACAAAGGCTGTGGATGGCGTCATTGCCATCTCCACAGATGTGGGCCCAGGTGGTGTGAATCGTGTTTCGCTTGCATGACTCAGGGTTTCTGGTTGCAGGGTTTACCGAATTTTGGAGGAGGTTCAGGGGCTAACAAAGGACACCTAGTATTCGTCTATTGCGACCGCTCGTGATTCCTCTGCCGCATGAGTAACTACGGCTCCGGAGCAAAATTTGGAGAACTGCCCTCAAATCCTAAAACCCCAGGCCCCCAAACCCTATAGATCCCTGTAGATCCCTCAAAGGACAGGAACCCTTTAAAGGGACAGAGAGCTGCCCACATAAGTTTTACCGGATCCGAGGCCGCACGATGGCCGCGGCGGGCCAGGCCAAGATTCCGGTAGCTGGTGCCAGCCCGAGTGAAGAAAGGATCCCTTTTCCGGCTCCTTTGGGGGGGCATAGGGGCTCTATAGCAGGGTTTTATTAGGTTGCATTATAGGGATGTATTATAGGGTTCTATGAAGGGGTTTTATTGGGTTCTATGATAGGGATCTACTATAGGGTTGTATTATAGGGTTCTATGAAGGGGTTTTATTGGGTTCTATGATAGGGATCTACTATAGGGTTGTATTATAGGGTTCTATCATATTTGGCTTCTACCAATTCTCCGGGCATAAGCCGAGCGACTGCTCCCTGACTCACCCAAAACGTTCAACTGAAATTCCGAAAGAGACTTGAAATTCACACACACCCTAAGCCCCAAATCGCAAGCCACAACTCCCGAAGCCGAAGCCGCGGGCCTTAGGCCCTAAACCCCGAAACCGTAGGCCCCAAACCCTAAGGCACCATGAAGCCTACGATCGCCACAGCCTTAAGCAAAAACAACAGTAAGATTCAAACGCTACGCTTATGGACCCCTTAAAAGACCCCTTAAAGGACCCCCCCAATCCGTAGCGGAATCCGAAAGGAACCCTTAGATCCCTAAACCCTAAACCCCTAAACCCTAAACCCTAAACCCAAAACCCTAAATCCTAAACCCTAAACTCTAAATCCTATACCCTAAAATGATCCAACGAGGCACCGGAGGCACCAGCCTTTCGCTTGCGGCGTCCGATCTTGGCTGCTGCCTTGCAGGCCGTTCGTCCGGTCATTAAGGGATTGCGAACTGCAAGACACCAAGGGATACTGTATAATGTACAGTACTGTAATATAATAATATAACGTACTATAATGTACTGTAATATGCTAGAAGATACTATGAGATGCTACAAGATACTATAATGTGCTATCGCCTATAATGCGGGTTTAGGGTCACCTCCGATTGTATGAACCCTCGACTTGACCCTCAACCCTAAACCTCAAACACCTGAACCACTAGAAAAACCAAGCCCTAAATCTCCGACTCCAAGAAACCCTCAACCTTCAACCCCGGAGTCCTAAACCCCATATCCCAAACCCGAAACTCGAAACCCTAAACCCAACCCCTATTAAGGGAACCCTCATATTTGCATAAGGCTCCTTGTTGCCACTTCCTTATATACGTCCTTAGAAAGTTGAAGGAAGGTTTCTTAGGGTCCGGGTAAGCCCTGAATAAATCGTGACCCTAACAAACCCCAAACACCGAAATCCTAAGCCCTAAAACCTAAATCCTGAAGTAGGCGTTTTGCTTGCCGGAGGAGACTCTAGTCAGGTGGAAAAAGGCGTCAACCAAAAAACCCTAAATCTTACCCTAAACCCTATACCCTAAACCCTACACCCTAAACCCTAAATCGTGACCCTAAAACCCTAAACCCTGAACCCTAAACCCTAAACCCTAAATCGTGACCCTAAAACCCTAACTTCAGTGCCAACCCGGAGAGGTAACGCGGGCGGCTCAGTGGCCACAACCCCGGAGACCAAGGTGCGCTTCATCTGCTTGTGGCTTCAGTTTAGGGTTGTAGGGCTTAGGAGTTTTAGGGTTCAAGGTTTAGGATTTTTAGGGTTTAGGACGTTTTAGGGTTTGGGGATTAGGGTTTTTAAGGTTTAGGGGTTGGGAGTTTTTAGGGTTTAGGGTTTAGGATTTTTCGGGTTTTGGATTTTAGGGCTTAGGACTTTTAGGGTTTATTAGAAACTAGGATCTTTAGGGTTTAGAGACCTTAGGAATCAGTTTGTATTCTGTCATCATTATAGAAACTTAAACCCAATGGCATGTTGGACAATTTCAGTTCCATTTAGTCCATGGGAGCGGTTTAGAGCTTAGGGTTTATAGCGTGTAGAGCTCAGGAAACCCTGAACCCTAAACTCTAAACCCCAAACGCGAAATCCCAAATCCCAAACCCTACACACCCTAAGCCCGAAACCCAAACCCTACATGCCCTAAACTCCCAAACCCTACATGCCCTACTTGGGCATCCAAAAACCTACGGTTTCAAGGGTTAGACCCTACAATTAAGGGATCATAACCTACTATTTCGTGTCCTCTACAGGTAATCCCCCCATCCCAAACCCTACAGCCCAAAAGCCCTACAGGCCCTAAGCCCCCAACACCCTAAGCCCTAAACCCTACATCCCAAAAACCCTACAGGCCCTAAGCCCCCTAGATCCCAAAAAACCCTTCAGGCCTTAAGCCCCCCTAGATCCCAAAAAACCCTTCAGGCCCTTAAGCCCCCTAGATCCCAAACCCTAAGGCCCTAAGCCCTAAACCCTAAACCCTAAACCCTAAACCCTGATCCCCAAGCCAGGCTTTGGGGATCGCTGCAGGCTTGGCCAGTGCCTGGGGTGCGACCTTTGCGCCTCCAACGAGCCCCTCGCCCTATGGGAGCGGGGAGGTTTGAGGATTCTTGTGGAAGGTTTTGGGGTTTGGGGTTTACAAGGTTTAGGGTTTAGGGTTCAGTTTTAGGGTTTAGGGATGAGGGCCAAGGCTAGGATTTAGGGTGATCGGGGTTAAGGGGGTCTTGGGGGGTTTAGTTTAGGGGTGTCGGGGGCGAGTTTCAAGGATTCAACCCCTGGCGTTACGGGGTTTTCGTCGGGACATTGTTTTTCAGCTTAGTTCTTGTTGTACTAAGCCCACAAAATTACGAACCAGATTAGAGCCTCCGGGGCTGGTGGTTTTGGGTGTCTTGGAAACTGCTGAGGGTTCCGGCCTTTACATTCTAGATTTGAATACTGCCCGGACTCAGTAACAGTTGAATAAGATGTATAGTAAAGCCATTCATGGCCCTTAACAATAGCCTTAAGGACCGTAATAATGACCTTATTATAGACACACATTGTATGGGGGCAGTACTCAATCCTAGATCCTCGAACTCTGAAGCCTTCAAAGCCCAAGTACTTCCGAGGCCGCCGAAGCTTTGCTTGGCATTCCGACTCACGGCTGCGCTTTCGGGTTGCTCCCGGGTTTAGGGTAGATAAAGATGATGCCCCTTGTGACGGAGATGGTTCTGATGATGCTGATGATGATGATGGTGATGATGATGATGCACCAAGAGGGAGCGACAGTCAAGCTCCTTTCTATGCAAGGGGGAAGTCTACTAGGTACCTACGTGTCGCTGTTAGGTTTGCAATTCTCTGAAGCTACCACGTCATACCCAGCATCCTGGAGGTCGGCAAACGGCGAACCCCAAGCCGCCCATGACATGTGGTGAGGGTTTAGGGTGTACGTAGGGTTTCGATGAATCTCAGAGGGACCAGACAAATGATTTTCAAGTTCCGTACTCATAAAACGCACCCTGAACGGGATCCTAGTCTAGAGAATTACGCATTCCCTCTTAACCGCAAACCTCTAAACCCCTAAAGCCTAAACCCTAAGCCCCTAAACCCTAAACCCTAAACCATCACGTATAGAGAATGGACCCATGGGCGGCGAGCCTCAGCAGCCCAAGGCCTTGGATGGCTGCTTGCCAGCCTTTCTGGCGGCTTCCTGCCTGAACCAGGCCCTGGCATGTAAAATGTTGTGTATGATCTAGGGCTTGGGGGTGGTCACGTGGTTTATAGATGACTTATTAACATTAAGGACATGTAATATTTTCTGTATGATAATCTATTGTTTAGGGGGGGCATATGGTTTATACATGACTTATTAAGATTCAGGCCCCTAGAGCACCGGCAAGGCCTTGAACTTGGATGTTTTTGTGTATGGCCCGGGGTTTAGGGAGGGGTTTCATGTTGTTTATCGTGGTTTGGAAGTGCAGAGTTTTTGGATTCAGGGTTTGCGGCCCAGGGAATGCAGGGTTCCGAGTTTAGGTTTTGGCTTCAGGGTTAGGGTGCATCGTTGAGGGCCCCAGGTTTAGAGGTACAGGTTTTGGGTTTCATAGATGGCATGTGGTACCGTGAGAAATGCCAACCTCGACATTCAAATCCGACAGTCCTAGATCTAAACCCTAAGCCCTAAACTAAATCCTAAACCCCCAAAGTTCGCAAGGCCTGCAATTCATGGGCCCGTCATATTAGTACTACTATCCTGTGTCTGAACCGTGTCATAGGTTTAGGGTTTAGGGTGTTTTGGTGTAGAGTTTTGCGGTTTAGGGTCACTTGTGGTATGAATCACTGCGATTGCTTGTCGCTTACAACTTGTGAAGCCCGGTAGAAACCTATGCAGAGACGCCCTGCAAGTGCCCTTGTTTAAGCCTTGTAGAAACCCTTGTTCGATCCCTATTGCGTCGCCTAAACTGAACCCAAACAAAAGCCCCTAAACAAAGACAACGTAAACCCCAAAACCCCAAAACGGAAGCCCAAGACAGGCCCTGCCCAGCTCGGCGCCCGCTGAGCTTCGCCTGGCCTTGCAAGTGCAGGTCGCGCGCTGACCAGGGACGTTTAGGGTTTAAGAGTTTAGTTGTCGGAACATTCTTCTAAACCCTAAACCCCAAGCCTTAAACCCTAAAGCCCAAGCTCTAAACCCTAAGCCCTATTAGCAGCTTTTGACCCGCATTCCCCATAGAACCCTAATGTAGGGGCCTAAGCAATGACCAATACTATTTTGGGATTCCTCGTACTATAATGATTATAGTATAATATACCCCGATATACCCCAAGACTCTATTCTAACTATTCAGGCCCCTATGCCCGATACTGATGTAGGGGCCTTAACAATTGCCTATACTATTTTTGGGGTTCCTTGCTATAATTATATACTATCAAGGACCCCCCCAGCCCTAAACCCTAAACCCTAAACCCTAAACCGTCCTCTAATTATTAAGGCCCTTACATTATCTGTTTTCGGGGCGAGTTCTCAGGTGCTCCCTCCAGTACTGGGAGCGGCGGCTGCTCAGCAGGCTCGGTTCAGGGTCGAGTGTCAGGTTTTGGGTTTACGATGTGGGGTTTAGGGTTTAGGGCCTTTAGGGTTTACGATGTGGAGTTTTGGGGTTTCGGGTTTAGGCGGCCTTGCTTTGGCAGTTCATGGAGTTCGGGCTCAGAGGTGTTTGTGAGGATCCCGCAGACGTCTTGTGGGGAAAGGCGGGCCTAAACCCCCAAAGCTCTGGAAGATCCGTCCCCCAAGCTCCAAACCCCCAAGACCCCGAAAACATCCCAGGCCCAAGAAGCCAGGAACCCCAGCTCTTCCACTCTTAACCCGAGACCCTCACTCACAAACGATTTAGGGTTCCAGGACCCCTAGGCCCGAAACCTTATGCGGAGCTCCGAACGCCGTAAACTCTGTAAAGGAACAAATACAGAAACTCTGAAGGGAACCCGACAGAAACCCATAGCAGAACCCTTGCCCCCCCCACCCCTCAAAAAAAAAGTTTGTTAAATAAACCCAGAAAGGAATCTTTCAGTGAAAGTTGAGAGGAACCCCCATTACAGGAAGTGTAAACGCTAGATAGCAAAGCTTATACAAAGCTTATAGACACCCTAAGCCCTAAACCTAAACCCTAGACCCTAAGCCCTAAACCCTAAAGCCTAAACCCAAAGCCCTAAACCTTAAATACCCCTTGTAGAGGAGACCTCTAAGCCGGGAGGGCTCCGGACTTGGTGAGCTCGCTCTATTGGGCGGTGCGCTGCTTGGCGCGGGCCTCGCTGCTAGGGGGGGGTTCGATTTCTTGCAAGACTTTAAGCTACGGGTTCTACACTTCTATAAGGGTTCTTATAAGGGTCTTGCAAAAGTTCTACAAGGGCTTCAGGGTTTCAGGTTTAGGGTTTCAGGGTTCAGGGTTCAGGGTATGACGGCCTTGGATTTGCGATTTCGTGTTAGGGGTTTCGGGTTTAGGCTTTGCGGGTACCAGAACCTATGCATATGTTGAGAAGTTACACAGTCATACCCTGTAGTTTTCGTAGAGTTTGGGCCTGCGCGCAAGGTTCAGGGTGCAAGTTTCAGGCTTTCAGGTGCAGCATGTGGGTCTTAGGGTGCAGGGTGTAGGGTTTAAGGGTCTAAGGTTCAGCGTTTGCATGTTGGGGTTTGGGGTGTGGGGCTGAGGGGTTAAACCCTATACCCCTAAACCCTGAGCGCCTAAGATCTGGAGTTTGGGTGGCCTAACCTCACACCGCACACCCCAGCACCCAGGGTCGCTTTGTCGCGGTTCCTGCGCCGCCGCCCTGCTTGGAGGCTCTTGAGGGCAAGATTTTATGGAGGTTTCTGTTTCAGGGCTGCTTACTGTAATGCTCTAAGTCCTCTGTTCCTCTACATCTTAGCAGACGTCGCAGGTGACTAGTGGCCGGGTGATTCAGGACAACTTGCGCATGCCAACGGGCTAGGACACGTAGCGCACTTCAATTATGGCGCAGTTTACTATTCAGAACAGCCCATTAAGCTCGAAGCGGGTTCAGGATTTTAGGGGGTCGGATTTAAAGTCAGGGCATCTCAAACTCCGGAGGTGGAATACCAGGCCACAACTAGACTAGTGCAAACAAATGCTATCTGCTATAGTAGACTCGTAGACTTTTTACTATGATAAGCTTAGCTACGCAGGCTGCTTGACAGGTCCTGTGGAATCTGCAGCTCTGAACTGTGGCACTCATGACACAGGTAAGTCCAGTCAGACCATTGCGAAGAGACATTCCACGCCTTACAACACCTGCTCAACACCTTTCCAGGCGGATCCTTCTTGAAGTCTCCCAGTCTTCACCCACATTGTAAATACGCTCATTTCATATTTCGGACAGGGCGGATCTTTGCCTCTTTGGCCCCCCGATGTTTGGTGGGGAGCTGAGCCTCGTGAGGAGAATGGGTCTTGGATTCGGGGTGCTCACAAGGTTCAAAAGTTGATAGGGCTTTGGGCGTGTTTGGCTTGTAGGGTTTATGGGCCTGAACGGGCGCATGGCTGACAGGGTGTATGGGGTTCAGGGGTCTAGGATTTGGGGCTTTTGGCATGTTACCCCAAGTGTCCAACCGGCATAATTAATCATCAGGTACTTGGGATTATTGCGCACACTAGCCACTAGCCCGTACAAATTATACTCTTGGAGTTCGGCCATCGAGATTCATTAACTTGGCAGAGAAAGAAGATTCCGATCTCCAAAATGTCCTACAATGCTGATCACTCCTGGGAACTTCGAAGATCGTCGCTTCAAAAAGGGCCTAAGGGTTCCGTGTTTTGACGGTACCATAGCCCGCCACCCTCGCCCCCGCCCATGCTTGGTTCTAATGGCTCGGGCCCCAGCGTTTCGTGAGCCTGATTCTGGAAGTTTAGGGTTTAGGGTTCAGGGTTTAGGGTTTAGGGTCTTATCCATAAGCCACGCTCCCATGGGTTTTCGGTTTTCAGCTCTTGCTGAATGAAGTTGTGTCTGGCTCTCTGTGGTTTTGAACAAGCCCTACAACCCTACCTCTTACTTAGACGGTCCGAAGGCCGAAGCATTCCGAGGTGTGGTGGCAAGTCCTTAGCTCAAACCTGCCCCCTAACTCCGGACCCTGACTGCGAGCACGTGCCAATAAGTTTACAGGCATCAACAGCTTGCGGATTTCAGAGTGAACCCAACGGGGTCAACGGCACAGCTCCGTGCTGCTTTGGCTTGCAGCTGTGGTCCGGGTGGTGATGATGCGCTTCCCAAGATGTTCATCAACGATGTGAAGAAAACTGCGCAACTGGGAAAGGACCTGGTAGCACAACCTTTCGAGCACAAGGTGGTGTTGGATGTCACCCATTTCCGCACTGCTGAGCTGGTGCATGAGAACTGCCAGAAGGGTTTCCCTGGATCTATATTCGAAAGTTCCTAAACCCTAAACCCTAAACCCGGAATTTCTAAACACTCCCTCAACCCTGAACTCCTACAAGGACCTCCCAAGTCTCTCTCTTTAGGGAGTCTGGCCTGCAGAGCAAGCGCTGTCCAAAGGACTCTAGACCAAGGCTTAGGCTGGGGTTTAGATTGCAGATTTCACATTTTCCTGTACCCCTAGAGTGTTACTGTCTGACGCCACAAGAGAAGTGGGGCTTCATAAGAAGGAGCCCTGCCGCTGTTGGTGCTTGGGTTACAGGTAGGGTTTTGGGCTTGATTAGGGCTTTGCACTTTGTGTCGTTTTATTGTCAGCGCATGGTTAGGATTTGGTGGTTTTGTCATCGAGCCCTACGCGCCCAAAGTCGGATTGCTTTGCCTTCGACAGCATGGTAGGTGCTCTGCGCACGACTATCGATCCCAGCCACGGCCACCGCGCTGTCAGTGGCCGGGCCCCGCAGCTTCAAACATATGAGCGAGGTCTTCTGAAGCTACACTGGAAGTTCTTATTCTGCGAGTCCCTATATTGCATAAAAAGCTCGAAAAAACTGGAATCTGTGTGTTGCACTGGGGGTTGCTGCAGGGTCGTTATTGGGGTCCCTGATTTTGCTAACAGAAGTTCTGAATCTCAGACCCAGAAGCATCAGAAGGGAATCCGATGCTCGACTCTCTTAAATATACCTCCCGGGGTTTGGTCTCTTTTTGGGTTTGCAGGGTTTAGAGTTTAGGGTTTAGCTTCCACTCAAACTCTGAGCCACAGCCAAGGGGCCTGTCCACGATGTTGGGCACCCTGGCTTTCGTGATGGCGCCACAGGCTGCTGAAGCCACGGAGGCAGGGCCATATAGAGCAACTAAACAAGGGCTATTGGGGCTAATTGCCGGTTGCGAAGTGGCTGAGTTTAAGCTTGTTGAGTGAGGCGCAGTGAAGCCGAGGTCCTGTATAGCTCAGGTTTTCGGTTTAGGGGCTAAGCTGGTTTGTGTTTGGGGTTAAGGATCCTTCTTGTCAGGGCATCTCAACTCTGCACCGTACAGTATAGACCAGAAGTTTACGGCATTTGGGATGCAGAGATAGACAGCATTCTGAACTGAATGTCTGGCTTTGGCGCATGTTGTCGGAGTAAAAATTGGGGAGTTGAAACTCAGAAATTTAAGCGTTTGGATTGGTTTCTCAAAGAGGGAGCACAATTAGTGATAATTAGTGAAGGGAGCCGCTGTTGGAAACCGAGCCTAGCAGTGCACAGGGTGGCTTGATGGAGCTGCGGCCAGCCGTAAGGTAGGTAGGTCCTGCAGGTAGGTGTCCCTATCGGTGCAAACATGTTGGCAGAGCATTTTGTGTTCGCATCTTACGATTGATATTTGCCTGTTTCCCCAACTCGTAAGCAGGGCTTTTGCCCCGCTTTGTATCATGGCTGCACACGTGAGTAAGTGAGTGAGTGCATGAGTGAGTGAGTGACCGAACGGAAACCACTCGGCTTTCGTCATTTCCGGCAAGAGTTCGACGCTCCGAGCCTCCCAATCCAAGAAGGGGCAAGGGTCACCCGAACCTCCATGGGCCCGCCCCCAAGCTCTCGGCCTGGGTTGGATTTGGGCACTTGGCAAGACAGCCCACTTCTGAGGAATGGAAGCTCTCCCCCTGTGATCCCTCACACGGGTACTATGCTGGGGGCACTGGCTCGGAGAAAGGGCTTGGGGTGCGGGGTGGCCGAACCAAACACGCACACATGCACTGGCAGCAAGGCTCAGGGACAAAGCAAGCTCAGCTGATCCTGTTGGCCGCTCAGACTCGAGCAGTATTCCCTTGGCGTGTGGGGCAGTGCCTGAAACTGAAGACACCACCCCCGGAGGGGTGGCTGCAGACGTGTTTATGGCTTGTCTAAACAGTTTTGTTTTCCGCATCTTCGACCCTGGTTGCTGACTACCAGTAGCTGGGAAGCCCACCCAGTACCAGATTTTCAACCGGAAACCTTAGACGACCCTACCGCGAACCTCAACCAATTCGGAAAGCCTGAACCCCAAACAGCCCCAAACCCTGAAGCGTCCCACAAAGCCGAACCAACAGGAACCACCTTGCACCCTGAACAACCAACGGTGGAAGCTTAGAATCCCAGAGGCGCAAGGCGATCGAATCAAAAAGCTCCACTCTGAGAGGTGCTCCGGCGCAGCCTCCGCACCTCCTTGAGCTACGGACCACCGGGGTGCCTGGGTCAGGGATTGAGGCTCAGTGCTTCGGGTTTGAACTTTCTGGGTTTCTTGTGGCTGGGTATCTTGTGGCTTATGGGTTGAATTCTTGTAAGAGGAACTCCCGGGCAAATTCGTGTACTTTTCCGAACCAACCCCGCCTTCACATGCACAAGGTCGGCAGATGAGCCGCAGAAGAACATACCCATTTCTGTTTTTGAAGCGATGGGAGTGGTGTTTGGGGAATGGTTTCAACACCACCCACGTCCAGACAAGGGGAACCCCAGCCCAAACCCAAACTTAAGCCCAATCCCAATCTCAAGCCCCATGGAGCCTCCGGAAGCAGCCCTAAACCCTAAACCCTAAACCCTAAACCCTAAACCCTAAACCCTAAACCCTAAACCCTAGTCCCGGCATTGCGACCCAGGCTCGCCGGTGCCTTTGCCGGGGTTCTGATGAACTTTGGATCCCGAAGGGGCTGGTACCATCAGCTCCTTGGCGTGGCCGCAGTGGGTCAAGGAGTCCAGGTTACATTTATACGGATCTTGGGGATATAATATGGATGTAGGGTCGATTGCTAAGGATTTGGCGGAAATAAGCTCAGGGAAGTAAGGTCTTTAGTGCACCTGTACCCCAGGCCCTAGACCTTCCCTAAACCCTAAACCTAAAGTGTTCTCCGGCTGTGGTGGTTCTGCTCATTTCATGAGGAACGTATGGGCCAGATCACTCTCTTGCATAGTTCTCTAAACTAGGGTCCCATACTATCTTGGGTACCCAGAAAAGGACCCAAGGCCAGGATACTTAAGGCACCAGAGTTTGGGAGGGATATCTCTACCTTATTGGCTTACTTGAAAAGGGGATTTGTGGGATATCCCAACCTTCTGATTGTCCTTAAGCCCTCAACCCCAAACCCTAATGGTTTTAGGTGCTTCTTGGAAGAGCCAAGAAGCCCTGGCCCTGGAAACAGGTTTAAGGTTTAGGTTAAGGAATCCTGCAGACCCTGAACTTTGCTGGCATGAGACTCCTCTGAACCCCCAAGCGGGCTCAAATCGCGCCGATTTGCAAACAATTGGCTTACTGAGCTCACCTTAAGCCCACCCGAAGCCTCAAGCCCTAAACCCTGCTAAGCTCAAGTCTTACACAGCACTCTGAGATTCTTTCTGCCCCTGATCTTGGTGGAAATGGAGCACGCTTCCATGTCCTTCCTGGGTGCCCTCGACTGGCTCACTCTGTGCATGACAGGTGCTTTTTGTCTTTGGGCCGGGTGGGCTAGGGTTTGGGCCTAACCACGTGCTTTGGGCTTGCTTGTTTCTTGTGGGTGAGATTTCGGAGCCCATGAAATTGCATAAACGTTCATACGAAGTTGAACGGATTTGCTTGAGAGGCTGGTAGGTTGCGTAGAGCTTTTATTCTTCAGGGCAATGAAGGGGATTTTAGAATGGTTTTCGGGCTTGGCTTACGGAGTTTGTCGAACTTCATGTGTAGGGCTTAATGACGGGAGTAAGCGTTAAGGCCTAGGGTGATTCTCAGCTCAGGTGCTGAATGCTCTTTCCAGTTTGGGAGGTTTCGCGGGCTTGAATCACTCTGCCGATGCTCTTAGCGTGTCAACCAACCTGCCTGCGTAATAGCGCAAGGCCCCCCAATAACTGGGCTCCCGATAAGGAGTTTATCTTAATTAAGTGTCAATGATAGCGGAAACCGTATCATGTATTATAGATCCCTATCATATCCTATTAATAATTACGGTTACTTAGATTCAGTTCCCTAACAAGAACCCAGCAACAAAAAGGCACAGAAAGCGACAAGCCAGATGCCGACTCTTCTCAGGCTCCGGCATCTACTTTGAACTTCACTTAAACCTGACGACCGAAATGTTAAAGTGGATTAGTAACCACGCCAGAAGCATCAAGCAAGAATTCCACTGCAGAGACTGCATACTAATCCAGCCCCATGAGCACCCTTCAAGTAACCCTTAAGGAACCCTTCAAGTAACCCTTAAGGAACCCGGTTCTACCTATTCAGCCTCTTCGAAAGCAGTAGCCCGTTCTACCTCCGAAGGCGCCGGAGCTTGTGCAGCGCAGTGCCCTGGTTCAAACGAGGGCAATCATTGAAGGGACCCAAGTCTTCGCAGATGCCCTGTGCTATTTGGCCCTGAACCCCCTTAATCTTATGGTTTTGGGGGTTTCGCAAGTTGACTCTAAGCCCTAAAGCCCTCAACCCTTAGAAATCGAACCCTAAACCCTCTTAGCAGTATTTCCGGTTGTGGGAGGTTTGGGGGCTCGAAGATCGGCTCGTTTCCGTCTTGCACGGTCTGCAGAGTTTGCTAGGGAGTCGGGCCATGGAATCTTTGTGGATTCAGGGATTTAGGGTTTTAAGGTTTTAGGGGTTTAGGGGTTTAGGGTTTTAGGGCTGTAATTTTTTAGGGTTTTAGGGTTTAGTTGTTAAGGCCCCCGCAATAGGGTTGGGCCCAAAGTCTCAAAGCCTTGAAGCGACGGGTTTTGGGTTTGGGGCCAAGATGGGTCAACGGCACCTTCAGACAAAAAGCTAGTCCGAAACCCTAGACCCCAAACCCTGAACCCGAAAGCCCAAACCTCCGAAACTACAGCATCTTTTCTTCCGAGGTGGCTTCTGCCACGGCGGCAAGAGGAAAAGAAAGAAGCTGACTCCAGGTTGCACAAGAAAGCCCTATTAAGGGACCTGTAGCCTGAACCCTCCGACGCATCGACATGCAAGAAACTGGCGTTCAAAACTAAAGAGCCTTCGAGGTTGTGATGTCAGAAGAGATTTATTCCCAAAGGCAGCTGTCAACTGTGAAATTCCCGCGCAAAGCCGTACCCAGAAAGAATCCTGACAGAACCCTGCAAAGTCTTATAAACAGAGCCCTTGTAAATCCTGGCCCCGAGGTACCTAGCCATTGTAACCTTTGCAGACCCCCAAGCTTTCGGGTTCAGGGATGTTTAGGGATTCTTTGTAACCCTTGCAGAGCCCCAAACTCATGGGGTTTAGGGACGTCCAGGGATTAGGCCAGGTTTTAGGGGCATCGTGGTTGGAGTATGTCCAGCAGCCGAAGGACACCCGTCTGGCCAAGAGGCACAGAAGGGGTTTCCTTTGATCTGGGCTTAGGGTTTAGGGTTTGGGGTTTAGGGTTTAAGAGTGTTCACTCCGGTCCTTCGTGTAGTGCTTCACATTTGTTCTTCAGCCTAGACTTACCGGTGCTGAAGGAAGAGCGGAGGAAAGGCATATGCTAGGAGGGTTGCACTCTCGCACTCCCACGTAAAACTCCACGGGATGATTAACTAGATAAACATGTATATATATATATATATATGTATGTATGTATGTATGTATGTATGTATGTATGTATGTATGTATGTATGTATGTATGTATGTATGCATGTATATGTATATATATATATGTATGTATGTATATGCATGCATGCATGCATGCATGCATGCATACATACATACATACATACGTACACGCATACATGCATGCATGCACACGTACATACATACTTATTTACACCGACGAGTACGGACCTACCTCCTTACGTACCTATGTATGCACGCATGTACGTGTGTGCGTACATGCGTACGAACAAACAAAGAGACACACACGCACATACACACAAGCGACATAGGTTATAATACACTTCACATTACACTTCACTGCATTACATTTCATTTCAGTATGTTCTTTACATCACAGTGCATAGCATCTCGTTAGATTGCATTACCGTTCCATGCACTACGTAGCTTCACCTTACTTTACATCACATTATACCGCCTCACATCACATCACACTATCATACAACATCGTACATTATGCGAATGCAGACATGCGTACAGACATACATACGCACGGAGATACATGCATACAGACATACATACATACATAAAGACATTCAGACATACAGACAGTCATACAGACGCACAGACAGACGGACGGACAGACAGACAGACAGACACGCCGGCAGACAGACGTACAGACATGCAGGCATGATGCAGGCATAATTACGGAGATACAGACATACATCCATGCATCCATGCAGTCCATGCAAGCATGCATATACTTATTTTTTACATGTCTTCAAAAGGGTGTGGTGTGTGCATCTGTACCTCCGCACCTGCATCAGCAAACGAACAAGCAAATCGGTCATACGAGAACAACACAAGAAGAGCCTCTAAGCCACCCATACGCGAAGGTTGAACAGAAAACAGTTTGAGCCTGGCAGATACCAGAAGCTCATACCTTTCTTAAATCCAAAGCCTTGCTCCTAAACCCGAGACGCCCTAAACCCGCAGCCCTAAACCCTAAACCCCTAAACCCTAAACCCAAAAGCTTAAATCCGTAGGAAGAACCCAGGAGAATTCCTGTCCTATACCTGAAACCCGAAGCACCTGGCAGATACACGATCTTATTCCCAACTCGCATCATGCTTGTGATCAGAGCCGCGTCCTCAGACTTTCCTGCGACAAGGGTTCGAGACAAGTTGGGCCAGCTAGAGCTTAAGGGTTTAAGGTTTGAGGGTTGGGATTTAGGGTTGTGGCAGGGGTTTCGGGTCCAAGATTTAGGTGTTTGTTTTGGGTTTGGGTCCCATGTCAGACTTTCGCCTTGTCATTCGACGTTCTCAGTCCGTCCCGCTGAACCCTAAAGCCCAAACCAACAGGCACTCAAGAAGCAACCTAAACCAACAAGGGCACGAATAAGCCTAAAACCCTAAACCCCAAACCCTAGACCCTAGACGCTAAACCCTAAGCCCTAAACCCCAAACCCCCAAACCCCTAAGCCCCCAACCCCCAAACCCCTAAAGGGCCCTAAAGCCTAAAGCCGAACCCCTTCCTTTCCCAGGCGTGCTCTCGTTCAACATCAGCCACCAGCTGGCCAGTGAGTTCCATTGGACAACTTCTCAGGGCCTGGAATGACGGTTTGGGGTTCAGGGTT